TCTTAAAAACATTTTCTTACTCTTAAGTTTGATCATCTGTTAATCATTGAGACCAAGATCTTGAAGGAATTGTGCATATAGCACAAACAGGTACTTGTATTACAGGTAAGGAAATTAACTTATATCTAGTCCAAGAATACATAGGTAGTAGCAAAGGCAGTACCAGAATCCAGATTACCCAGGTCCAAGCTGTCACTACTTCTATGCCCACTCACTAGCTCCTTGTCAATAGTCCATTCACGTACAGAAGTTCCTCATTTAACAAGGAGTTACAGTCCTGCAATCAGGTTATTAAATGAATTGGTCGCTAAATGAGGAATTGTATAATATGTACATTACAATATTCATAACAAAGAAATGGTCAAAGGAAACTCTAACTTGATGACTTTGCTTTTACTTGCTTAACTCTTACATGCAATACTGTAATGTATATCAGTACATAAAACTAGTACTGTACTGCACAATACAATCAGCAAAAATTACAGCACTATATAAACAAGGTATCCTGTACAAAAAACTTTGAAGCTCTATAAACAAGTTGCACAGAACTGTACAAAAAAGATAGGTCTTAAGTTCAAGCAGCAGGTCATAATTCTGAACAGCAGGCCTTGGTCATAAGTCCTGCAGTCGTTAAACAGGGAGGCCATTAAACAAGGAATATATCTGTAATAATGTTCATATCCACATTCATATGGATGGTAGAATTTTGGGGATATTTAATTGGTTTTGGGGGGTTTTTTGGTACTGGGGATTGAACTCAGCTCCTTGTGCTTGCCCAGCAGGCGACAAAACCACTGAGCTAAATCCCCAGCACTTTGGGGATATTTAATAATGACCTTTATGTCTATTACTGGGACAAAATACCTGACATATACAACGTAAAGAAGAAAATATTTATTTTGGCTCATGCTTTCAGATGTTTCAATCATGACTGGCTAGCTATAAAACAGCATGCAGAGGAAAGCTGCTCACCTCATGGCACCCAGGAAGCAGACAGACAGGAAAAAAGCCAGAGCTGCAGGGGCCAGGGACCAGATGTAGTTCTCAAGGTCATTCCTCCGTGACACACCCAGAAGTGACTTTACTAGTCTCTCAGGCACCTCTCAATCCAAGCAAGATTAACTATCACAACGTTACCAGAAGAATCTGTCATAATCAACTTCATGATCTTTATTAAAGAGGGTGCATTTATCAAAGAACGGATCTTATTACAGGATGGATCTACCCAATCCCAAACCCAAAACAACAACTACAACAAAATAAACGAGAATGTGTTGTTTTCAGAAATCCTGCTTCTGAATTAAAATGTGTAATGTACATGTACCAACTTCCCACAAGAAATATAAATATTATGTACTACACACATGTACTAATAATAAGCTTTTTAAAAGAAAGGAAAAAAAGAAAAAAAAAAGAAACTTGCTTCTCTTTCCACTTTCTTCCATAAAAAGAATGATTCATAGTCATCACTACTCTGGATCAAGGGCACCACAACTCACTTCGTAGGCAATGATAACTGATATCAAGGAGGAGATTCAGATTCATGTCTTTACATCAGAACAAATAATAGATATAAGCCCGGTCATTCAACAGCATATTGCTTTTACCCAAGTCCTCCAAAGAGCATATGATGCTGTCTCATATTCTCTCTCTCTCTCTCTCTCTCTCTCTCTCTCTTTCTCTCTCTCTGTATTTATGAAGATCCCACAATATCTCTCCTCACCGAGATGATGCTGAACCCTAAATATGCTCTCTATCCACGGATTCCTCCTCTGCCTTCTTGTGCTTCTGTCTCCTTCTTGTGCTTTGAGGTCTCCTTTGCTGGAGACCTCGTCTGCTACTGTTCTTTGGGCCTTGGTGTCCTTCCTGGCCCCGTCCTCAGTCCCTTTCCTTTCACACTTTATAGACTTTCTCTGAATTGACTAGTCTGATCCGTTTCAATAATGACCACACTGAGCTGGGGATATAGCTCAGTGGCACAGTGCCTGCCTGGCAAGCACAAGGTCCTGAGTTTGATCCCCAGTGCCAAAAACATAAAAATAAAAATAATGGCCACACAGATCCAAATCTACATTCAAATTCACAGCTCTCATGCAGACCTCTCCAAGACCAGTGAGCCTGGGTATCACCAACTGGGCCTTTCATGGAAGTGCATGGCCTCAGCCAATCCAAAGCAACCCAGACCTTCTCCGCTGTCCCTTGACTTTTCTATGCCTAGTCTTCTAAGATAAAATACTGGACGTTTTACCAGGTATCATGTATCAGGCCCTAGAATCAGTCATTTCTCCAAGGAGCCCTGTTTGCTTAGGGTAAAGAATGGTATGTAGAAGCCAAGATCCAGGTGCTAAGTGTGCCCATTGTTAGTGGGGGCCACTGCTCCCAGGCTCTCTCAAAGACAAGGCTAAGGATTATTTATATATATATAGTCATGCACACACACGGGCGTAGATATACATTTACATATACATATACCAGTATCTCCAACTTTGATCCAACACCACTGAATTCATTTATGATTTCTCTTTCTCCATGTTTGTAACTTCCTTCTCTGATAGCGAGGCATCTGGCTCCCACCATCCCCAATACATGTACTTACATGATCAACCCACCTGGGTGTAAACAGTCTCCTTCCCTCCCTCCTGTTTAGATGTTGACTCACTTTGTTGGGTTATTCTACTCTATCGCTGCCCCCACACCTTCCCTGGAACATGCTGTCACCTAGCAGGCACTCTGACATTCAGCACCAGGTCCCCTCCACCTCCCATGCAGATCCCTTCCTGCCTTGCCTAGTACAACATCCCCTGCTATGTCACCACCTTCACTTCCCTTCCCTGGGCTGGACTGCCTCACCTGCTCAGGCTCCAACATCCCCCAACCTCCACACCATCCCAGGCTGACCATCATGGAAGTCAGTACTAACAACACCATCCACCTACAGAAACCAAAATAAGTGTAGGCAGTATCACTCCCAAAGGGAAAAGACATTTTTTCCCAAATCAATAGAGGTCTTTTGATGCATCATTAAGACTTTACAAATTGGTTTTATGATCTAGGACCTTGTTTCTGTAGCTGGCTAACTCTAAGACCTTATTACTCAGCCTGCCAAACTTTCCTTTTTTTGGAGACATCCCAAATTGATATCCTGTGGTTTCTTTGGGATTTTCTTTTTGCTTTTGTATGTGTGATTTTTGCAGTGATGAAAATGCAAGTGTGCGCTAAGCAAGCCCTCTACCACTGAGCTGCCCTCTACCCTTGATCCCTGAGTTTAACCTGAATCAAAGCAGCTGAACTTGAAACAAGTTCAATGTCATTTCCTTCAGGAATTCACTCATCTTTCTCTGCTTGAGATATTGAATAAGAAACATGTAACCTCACCCAAGCCCTACAGATGTGTTTTTTACCCAAGAAATTTCAGATTTCAACAAGAAACCCATTTTTCAGAATGATAGTCTTGGTGGGGAAGTGAGTACATAGAGAACCTGCCTTGTGACAGAGGCTGTGAGACACTCGGATCACATTCTGTGCACAACTGGAGACAGGGCCTGTTTCTTTCTATTTCTTCACCATTTGTCAGCCGGAGCTGCTTCTTTTTTCTTTCCAGGGAGACCTTGTTCTCCACTGATGTGACAAAAGTCCCTCTTCGGGGTTCCTCTGGGGAACTGTGTGTCCCTGCAGAGTGATGTCAACATTTTCTGGAATGTGAGAATGGTCTTTGCTCTCTCAGTAGTCACAGCAAAAAGTGCAGAAGAGGTTTTTGAGAGAGGTTTGACATTATCCAAGTTACAATGCAGAGGCCACAGCCTTGGCTGCCTGTGCCTGAGGCTGCTTGGCCCAGGAGCTACACTTTCCATCAAAGTGACCACAGATGTGAGCCCAAAGCCAAGAGGCTCGGCTCCTCTGAACTTCAACTTCTTCATATTATTACCTTTTAATATACTTCTGGAAGGCTGGGAAAAGCTCAGGATTGAAAAACTAGAGATTGAACAGCTCTTTGGCAATATGGATCTGATGGAAATGCCAAACAAAGATAATGAATCATCAGGCAGGAAAACAAGGGTGGTGGTTTCCATAGAAGTTGAAGGATGTGGGCTGGCAGAGCCCATGTCCCACGGGTGCACCTGAGGTTGCTGGTGCATTTACCTCTCCATGGAAGCAGAGGAACAGATGGGCAGTGCAGCTGATAGGAATGGCAAGGGCACTCACAAAGGGCACCATTTGTCGGCTAGAGCCTCTTCTTTTTTCTTTCTGGGGAGAAATGCCATGCCTTCATGTTTGCTCAAGCTTTCTCCTGAGACCCATGAAGTAAACATCCCCTTCCATGGTCTGGTTCCCATGAGCACAATATTCCCATGGCCCCAGATTCCAGGCCCACCATTTCACATAAGAGACAGAAAGAAGGAGGGAAGGAAGAGAGGAAGGAAGGGAGGGAGGGAGGGAAATGAAAGGAAGGAAGAAGAAAAAGAAAGGAGGGAAGGAGGAAGGTAAAGAACAAAGAAGAAAAGAAGAAAAAAGGAGGAGGAGAAAGAGAGAGGGAAGGAGAAAGAAAGAAGGAAAGAGAAAAGCCGAAAAACCAGGGTTTGAGGAGTGGACATTTGAAAGCTCCTCTTGTTCCCCAACAACCACCATGACACCCTGACCCTTGGCTGGACCTTCCAGGTATGCAGATCAAGAGGAAAGGATAAATTCTTCCGTGTGTGTGTGTGTGTGTGTGTGTGTGTGTGTGTGTGTACATGCGC